AATGAGAAATTTAAAGAATGATAATTGTCATGTTCTACCAAAGAGTTAGACTCCCTGGTAGATCTATAACATATAGATCTAGTACTGACATCTCTGCTTCGTTGCTTTGTGTTTGAGTATTCACATCTAAAGTTAAATTTAATTTTAATTGGAATTGATATTTAATAAGATACTTTCACGATTATTTTGGCGGTTGAACATACAATAATGAATTCCGGATTGGTTTTCATTCACAACCCTGAGTCGCCGCCTCGAGAAAGGTTATTGTGTGATATCCCCAGGCCATATCTGGTCCCGTTTCACTTTGATTACCCTGTCAAACAAGTCAGCCTTCGCCCCTGAGAGAGAGAGAGAGAGAGAGAGAGGGAAAGAGAGAGAGAGAGAGGGAGAGAGAGAGAGAGAGAGTCAGACAGACAGACAGACAGACAGACAGACAGACAGACAGACAGACAGACAGACAGCGGAAATGAACATTTCTAGTTAATCAAGTTTCATTCTTATTGTGAGCGTTCGTGAATTTGTATTGCTTTATATATTTTTAGTGAACGCATTGCCAAGCTCACTGCCAGACGGTTTTTCTTTCATTGATATTTTTATACGTATATGATACCTATCTATCTATCTAACTATCTATCTATCTATCTATCTATCTATCTATCTATCTATCTATCTATCTATCTATCTATATATCTATCTATCTATCTATCTATCTATTATATATTTATATATAAGTGGACTTGGGTGGCTTTGTGCATAAACTCCTCCCTTATTACCTAACCAACACCTTTGAAACTTTGCAGGCGTCCACAGCATCCATGTGGCTAGGACCTAACTTTTTTTAAAATCCACGCAAACTGCTTTCCCCGATATTTCCAAAATACTTTGTTTCGTCCTCACAGAGTTCTAATTTTAGGAAAGTTCGTCTTCTAAGAGGCCATTGTAAACAAGTGAGGTTTCCGTTCACTAGGTGTGCGCAATGTTTCCATACCTTTGAAATTCTGGAGTGTACAACCACGAAAGCGGAATAGAGAATAAATTTATACATCTATTATAATTATATTTGGCAACTTGGAAACACGTGTGTCACTTTTCTCTCAAGATTTATTGCTCCATTCCAGCAGAGTGTAACTGTAGTAGGCCAATGACTTTCAGTTGATGTTTTATTTTCACATGCTTTTAAATGTGAAAAAAACCAAAAGAACTTGTTGTTGATTTAAGAATACAGAAACTGCCCTTGCAGCCACTCGAAATTAAATGTGACAACATTGAGCAAGTGTCAGATTATAAGTATTTGGGTGTTATAATAGACAACAAACTCAACTGGCGTTTCCACACTTCTCTCCTGCATAAAAAAGTGAACAAAAGGCAATTTTTTCTAAGGAAGCTAAAGTATTTTAAAGTTGATAAAACATTGATGTCCATGTTCTACCATTCAACCATAGAAAGTATGATCAATTTTTGTGTAACTGCATGGGCCGGGAACACAAGACAACAGGATAAAGAACAATTAAATCGACTAATGCGGAAAGCAAGTAAAATTTCAACATCTACATTCCCCTTCTTTGATGAATCGTACATAACAGCTTGCACTAAAAACAAATTACAACTTTTTAGACAATAAACATCTCAAATAAAAACTTCAGTCAGAAGTAAAAGTCCTAGGCTTCTGATCTGTAACAAAGAAAGATAATATAGAATGTAATTTTTACCATCATCTATCAAAATGCTTCCATCTTAACCATCTTGTATAAGTATACTTACGACCTTAGAGCATGCATCATACATTGAGTGTGTATATCTTAAGATTATTATTGTTTATATTGCTGCTCATTTATAGAATATTATGCATGTGATTGTAAGCCTACGTATGTGTGCATGTGTGTGTGTGTGTGTGTGTGTGTGTGTGTGTGTGTGTGTGTGTGTACACGTGGTGAAACACCAAACAAAACAATGTGCCAGAATCTGGACAATAAAAATATATCTTATCTTATCTTATCTTATCTTACCTTATCTTATTCCTTTCATCGAAAGGGGACCCAGCTAGTGTTTATATAATATATTATATTATGCATAATACTGTGTTTTTCATACACACCTGTCGATTAATTTTTAACGTGTGATGTCTTTTTTTATGTAATGCGCACTGAGCATTTTTTACAAAATATAAATAAATGCGAAGAATAAATGCTATTTATTCTTATTATCATATTTTCTTCTCCTTTCTTCTTCACACAAACACCAACCTTTGGCGTGCCCACAATGATCCCACTCGCCACCCACACCATGTTGTGACGTATGATGCCCCACGGCTTGTTGTCTAGCACGTTGCGTGGATTATTCACTTCAGAGAAGGCCACAGTGTTCTCATTGAATCCACCAGGAACTTCTAGCTTGTAGGTCTTGTTGGCTGGGTAGAACTTGGGGTTAATCAGTAACCTAGGGACGGGATGGAAGTATGGAAAGATTATCTGAAGGAGGAGGCATAAAAGTTAACTTCTAGCTAGTAGGTCTTGTTGGCTTGGTAGAACTTGGAGTGAGTTAGTAATCCGTAGTCCGAGCGACAGATGAAAAAGCTTTTTTAGTTTTAGTAAGAGCGCACTCATATGACCTTACGCAAAACGTAAGAGTTTTACGGCACTTGCAAGACAACAAAGTCATATAAGTGCCGAAGATGAGAGGTGTTACAAGGGAGTAACAAACATTTAAAAGAAGTAGGGGAGATAAAGACGATAGATGTTTGATAGGAAAGAAGAAGCAAACCACACCAGAGCACCCGCCAACCAACCACAGAAAAAACTTGTTTTGTGTCATAACGTGTTATGGTGATTCTGGTGATTCTAAAGGCCCGGTTACACGTAACGATAAATTATGCAAAAACTGGACGATAAAGCGATCATACGATAAAACGTTAGGTGTAACCACAAAATTGTACAAAATTGGGACGATTGAACGATGGTTTGGAGACTCGGTCGAGAAATCAAGCGCTGCTTGATATTTTCCGTGCGATCTCGGTCACTCTTGAGGGAGACGCGCTGTGACGTAGATTCACTTTGAAACTTGGCACTGCGCAGAACGAAACTAAGGACTCAAAATCTTTAGAAATAATTCTCGTAGGTAAAAACTGATTTCATATTCGGAATCAGCGTCTCAAAATAATCACAGTTGCTCGCGTAGACTTGATTTGGTACGTTATTATGTATATTTTAGCAATTTTGTCATTAAGTTGATCGTCAATGGTGAAGCTGTGCATCAAGGTCAGTCGGTGCGTTGCACATCTGCTGCAGTCAAGTCATAGCATCCGGGCTTCCGGTTCTACACACAACATGGTAGGCCTACAAGTATGGCCACCCTTTTCTAAAGACACTGTTTTGCTAAATCAAAATGTACATGTGGGGAAAAAAAGGGGGAGGGGGGGGGCTCTCGTGATCTACAGGTACAGTGTTCGCCTTTCATTCATTAGGTCTAGAGCTTGAAACCTTCACGTAGAGTGTAGGCAAATCGCTGTTGTCGCAAAGAGACATGGTGGCTTTATGACGAGGAATCTCCTCAATCGAAAGAAAACTTAATGATAGATTGGAACGTGTAAACAGACAACACAGTTCAATAAAACGGACAGTTCTCTCATACGACGAATCTGATACAATTTATCGTTGCGTGTAGCCGGGGCTTAACTGAGTTTTCATTGCTGATTTCAAATCTGATGGGGGGCCAAGCGCTAAACTTTGAGCATTTTTGTCGGAAAGTTAAAATCCAAGATGGCCGTCATAGAATTTCGAGTGAAAGATGTTGTGAGAGATATCTTGCATTTAAAGACATAAAAATGTATTCGGGACGAGACGGAAGGAAGGAAAGGATGGAAAGATAATCTGAAGGAGGAGGTATAAAAGTAAACTTCTGACTTTTATTTTCCTGTCGAACATATTTTGTCAGTATTTCTCCTCCTTTCCTTTCTCTGTATGCTACTCTCACGTTACACCCCGAATCGGCACTATTGAGACATATTAATGTTGGAAGTTCTGTCAAACGTTTACTAAAACTAAACTTGACTTCAGACCTCGAATTAGTATTTATTTGACCCCGTACGCACGTCCAGGATAAAAATAAATTATGTGAGTCACCTTACATCATAATGCAAATGAAACTTTTAACTGTTTTAAGAATAAGTGTGAATTAGAGAGAGTGGTAAGGGATATGCAAAAGTGGCGTCGACTGCTCTCCGCCTTATGAACCAAATACGGGGTGCCCACAACGGAATAGATCCGGCCGATCACCCGACTCGGTCGCCTCAAAAAAACAAATGTATTTGTTTTTTGTTCCAGGCGACCGAGTCGGACGCTCGGCCCGATCCAGCCGTAGTGGGCACCCCGTATAACGATATATGGAAAGAGTAGGCCTCAGTGTGAAAGAATAAGGGGTGGGGGGGAGGGGAGGGAGGGCATAACGCAGGGGCAAATTTCTAAACGTGTAAATGCGTAGAAAGAAACATTTTCTGAAGTGACCAATCGTATCCTCCTAATCCCGTGACCTGATTTGGTGCGGAATATCCCCCCCCCTTCCCCAACCTCAATGTTGTTGTATTGTCGACTTCTTGTTTTCTTTTTGCGAGTGTGCGTATGTGTGTGTGTGTGTGTGTGTGTGTGTGTGTGTGTGTATGTGTATATGAGTGATAGTGTGTATGTGTATGTGTGTATATGTAAGTGTGTATGTTTATGTATGTGTGTGTATGTGTGTGTATGTGTGTATGTGTGTGTATGTGCGTGTGTAACTGTGTGTATGTGTGAGTGTATGTATGTGTGTGTATGAGTGTGTATGCGTGTGTATGTGTGTATATGTGTAGGTGTGTGTGTATGTGGTGTGTGTATGTGTGTGTGTGTAAGTGTGTATCTGTGTGAATGTATATATGTGTGTGTGTGTGTGTGTAAGAGAGATGCAGAGAGATAGAGAGATAGAGAGATAGATAGATGGATGGATAAAGGGAGAGAGAGAGAGAGAGAGAGAGA